CTCTCCTCGATGGATTGTATGGCCAAAATAGAGATGCGAAAACAAAGTATAATTCGTGTTTACATTCTCTTAGCTTTGTTCTTTTTTCTTGGCTTGGTTTTGTTAGTTTTGGGAATCAATGTTCTTACAATTATTGGGTTGATTCTTTTGTCAATTTCTTCCATAGTTTTCATAATTAAAGTGTTCCTTTACTATTGCAGCAAGAGGAAGCGGAAGGAAAATGACCTAAATGTTCCTGCCTTTGATGTGTCCTTCGGTGATGAATTTGGGAATGGCATGGGACCTAGGGAGTTTTCTTACGATCAGTTGGCTACAGCAACAAAGAATTTTACAGATGAGGAGAAACTTGGCGAGGGAGGGTTTGGAGCAGTTTATAAAGGATTTATGAGGGATTCTAATACAAACGTTGCTGTTAAAAGGTCGTCGAGTAGGTCTGAACAAGGGATCAAAGAGTATGCATCAGAGGTGAAAATTATTAGCCAATTACGACATAAGAATTTAGTGAAGCTTATTGGATGGAGCCATGAAAAGGAACTCTTACTTGCTTACGAGTTCATGCCTAGTGGCAGCCTAGATTCCCATCTTTTCAATGGGAGAAGCTTGTTACCATCGGAGATTAGATATAAAATCGTGCATGGCTTAGCATCAGCATTATTTTATCTACATGAAGAAGGAGATTTTTGTGTATTGCATAGGGATATAAAAGCAAGTAACATTATGTTAGATTCAACTTTTAATGCAAAGCTTGGGGATTTTGGGTTAGCTAGGTTAGTTGATCATGAAAAAGGATCACAAACAACTACATTGGCTGGAACCAGGGGCTACATCGCTCCTGAGTGTCACAGAACGGGCAAGGCAAGTAAGGAATCTGATGTCTATAGCTTTGGAATTGTGGCACTAGAAATTGCATGTGGGAGAAGGTCAATAGAGCGAAGGTATGATGAGGATCAAGCATCATTGGTGGATTGGGTTTGGAAAGCACATGGAGATCAAATGCTTCTTGTTGTAGTTGATAAGAAACTCTCTACAAATTTTAATGTGAAAGAGATGGAGTGTTTGTTGCTTGTTGGCTTATGGTGTGCACATCCTTCACCTAATATGAGACCGTCAATTAGGCAGGCAATCCAAGTGCTTAATTTTGAGGCATCACTTCCAAATCTACCAAATAAGATGCCCACTCCTAGTTATGATGACATCCCTAATACTTCTATCATCCAAACAAGTGAACTTGGTTCATTAAGCATTACCATCCCCCGCTAGCTTTTGTGTCAAAAGTGCTACAAGTTATTTGTAACAATAAACATGTGTTTTGTAATAAATTGAATTATATTTATGAACTATGTATGAACTGAATATGTGTTTTGTAATAGATTTAATTATGTTTTAATTTATATCAAATATTATAATATTCAATAGGTATTCAAGTATACTTGTGATTATACCTATATAGTTGTGACCATTGAGTTGGGTAACGGATTTAATTACGTTTTAATTTATATTAAATGTTATGATATTCAATAAGTATACTTGTAATTATACCTATATAGTTGTGCATATTGAGTTAGGTAATAGATTTAATTATGTCTTAATTTATATCAAATATTATAATATTCAATAAGTATACTTGTGATTATACCTAAACACACGGTTATACCCATTGAGTTAGACAACATATATAAATTTTTAATACCTAAATAATAGGACTTGAATCTTAAAATCTTATATCCATCAAATTTCAAGTCATTCCTATAGTCCTGTACCTGCTGACACCTAGAAAATCTTATTTTCGTTTTGAGGGCTGGACCAGGAGGAATGAAATGACTAGTGTAATCTCAGCTAGTTACCCTTCGATTCCTAAGATATAAAATTCATTTCATTTCTTTTTTAAAAACATGAATGAAGTTTTCAATATATATAAGCTGTTGTACAGAATAAATAAGAGTAATATAGTGCAGAAAAATAAAAGAGAAGGAAGAGAATATCAAGCCGTGATTTATAGTGATTCCTCCAACCTGGAGTACATCCACTCCCCAAGCCTTCTTGCTCGAGAGTTCAATCCACTAGAAATCTCTTGCTTACGGGTACAAGATTAAACCAGAACAAACTCTTGCTTGCAGGTGCAAGATTAAACCCTCACAAGTGAATCTCAACTCACTCAACTCCTTCAAGGATTATCCCAATGAATCTCAACTCACTCAACTCCTTCAAGGATTATCCCAATCCAAGAAGAATACAAAACCCTTGTAAGACAATTAACCCAAAAGCTCACAAGAAGAGAAGAAGAAGGAGATCCAAAACACTTTCAAAAACAAACTCTGTTTTTCTATATTGTTGGAGCAATTCGTCCTTCTTCCTTCCTCAGATTTGATTTTTGATGTTCTTTTAATAGTTGGTTGGGAGCCTTGCAATTAAAGCCCTTTTAACCTTTCAAAGCCACCTCACAATTGTCCCAATTAGGTTCCACCTTTTTCTTCTAACTTGTCTTGGAAAGTGCTAAGACATTTAGATCCCCTATGACCCATTAAGAATAAACAGATAGTTGAGTTGTCAACATTTAACCTTTCATAATTTTTGTTTCGAAGCCAAAAATATTGGTTCGAATCATTTTCGGAAAAAAGAAGTTCGGGATTGGTTCGAATCATTTTCGGAAAAAAGAAGTTCGGGATTGGTTCGAATCAAATATAATTGATTCGAACCCAGAACTTTGAACAAGGGGAATATGATTAAATTCTAATCGTGGGGAAAGATTAAAATTCTTGAATTAACTTTCCTGCATACTTAACACAAAAATAGATTAAATTCTTTGAAATCATGATTTTAAACCATTATCAAAATACAAAGAGAACCTAACAACTAGCCCGTGTGCTGCAGCCAACCCAAGTCTCATCAGCT